AAAAAGTTAGTTCTCTTTAAGTGGGATTAGTTTGATAATACTTCTAATAAAGGAACAAAAGTATATAATTGATATGAAATTGTTGAATTTAGGCAATCACGAAGATATAAGGTGTACTTTGCGCAACAAGATGAACAAATTTCTTACACACTGTGAACACTAAAATTTTGTTTAAAATTTCTTATATTTATATTTTTTGAAAATGTGAAGTTAACTATTACTAAAAGAGAATGGAAACAAAATATTTTAGGAAAAAAATTGGTCTTAATAAAATGAGAAATTTCAAAATTTACTCAAAAATGGAAAATGAAACATGGCAGAAAATAAAACCCATAAATCAATGTCTAGTCCATACATGAGAAAAAAAAACTCAGACATTTGGCATTTTATGAAATCCTAAACGTGAGAAAAAAGACCTATATAAATATATAAAAGAGAGATCTAGTGAGGTGGCAACAACAAAATTTTAAGAGGAGAAAATTTTCTTTTGAGAAAAAAGAGAGGGCTTTGAGGAACCAGAGACCAAAGAAAGAGAAAAGATACAAAAATTTATAAGAACGTGAGCAGGAAAGGGTACAATAAAAGGATAGAAAAAAAAGATATCATAAATAAATAAATAAAAACACACCACTATTTTCAGGTGTTTGTTTGCATTACGTTTGTCCACCATTAAATATCTGTGGAAGAGAGTAAATGATACAAAAGAAAAGTTCATAAGGAGTTGCATTTGATAACAAATGAATGAGTAAGAAAGTTCTTAGTTTTGCTAATATTTTTATTTTATTTTTTAATAATATAATATTATTTTATTTAACGTAACTATGATTTGAAGTGAAAATGAGATATTGAAGTTCTAGATTGTCAAATGCTACCTCGCTCAAGTGAGAGTCTACTCGCTTAAGCAAATTTGCGAGTTTTGAGAAGTATTTAAAATATTTTCGTCCGAAAGGCTTGCATTATAATCCAAGTAATTTTCTCTCAATTCTCTCTATTTTCTACTTACTCAAGAGTTCTCTGTTTTGTGATATCTAGGAATAACTTAGTCTCTTGGGTGATATTTTCCATAAATTTTCTTCGAAATCTTTTCCTTGAGGTAGGGAGGGTTCTATCCCATCACTAAAGCATAGCAAATTTTTTTTTTGTGCTCACGAGAGTGCTATGGCATGTTTCTTACTTAAAAGTATATGATTGAGTGTTATTTAACTATTGTGAAAAGTTGATGAGGTATGTTGGCTAGTTTGGAGTGATTATACTGTATTTCTGTAATATATGTGATAAGGACTTAGTTTGAAAGTGTTTTGAGTAAACATGATATTTTAGTTGAATGATGAGAATGAGATGAAATGGAGTGTATTATGACTAAGAAGTGATGAAGGAATTAGTGTGAATAGTTACAAAGATACACTTGGGATATAGAGTTTGGAGATAATTTCAGAAATCTAGGGGAAATGTATGGTGATAAATGACATTCGCGTGTGGATATACAACCTATTAGAGAGCGAATGCGTCACATGACCTCGCACTTATTTTCTGACTAGACTCCTAACTATACTTTTGCTAAAGGTATACATTGTATATGAGTACATTGGTTAATCATCGACTATTTACCTATATGTGTAAGACCTCTTTAAGTGCTAGAAATATCGAATATTTGTGATCACAGTGCATGAGGAAGTGTGTAATCCAGAAAGAGAAATTAATTGACTATATGGTTGAATTATATATGTTGTAATATGTTATGATGTGTTGTTGTTGTTTTGATGTTATGAAAATGCTTTGAATATATTTTAGTGGTGAGGAGAGAACTCATCCTTACTAACATTTTCAGGTAATAAGAATGATTGACCCTCAGAGATTCATTAGACTAGTAAAATGGTTTATAAATAGTAGGTTGAATTATGTAATTAAGGAATGGAGTAGCTCTGCCACTTTAGTTGTAAATAGTGATGATTGATCTAGTAATGTATTTACTTTAGAGTTGAATATAAGGTATAACATACCTTTTGATTACCTTACTAACGGTAGGATCCACCATACACTTAGCTTGTACATATACAGAGGTATGGCCGAACGCTTGACGTAGTAAAGTACATGTACACTTTTCATGACCATGATCATATGGAAAGACCAGATACTTTTACCTGAGAGCTGATGATAGACACCGAAGTTGTTGCTAATACTAAAGATTATTATGACGAGGAACTAGCAGAGATAGAGGATTGATTCGAGGATAATGACTAGGATCGTGTTCTTAGTAGTTTGATAGATATGGACTACTCTTTGGGAATTAGATTATTTTTGATATTGTAATTGTGTAAACTAAGTCCTAATATATATTTTGATAATAGTCTATAAATATTGAACTTTTACATGTAAATAAAATTTAGTATACATATATTTCTTTATTATTTTAGTATAAATTTAATTATTAAGGTATAATTTAACTTTTATTATTTCTAATAGCTTTGTATTTTTCATAAATTGACTCATTTATAAAAAAAATTAATTTTATCACATTTTTATACTACATGTATAAATATTTTTTTATTTATTTTGTTTACCTCATTATAAATTATTATATAAATTGAATAAAAAATTAAGAATGTCAAAGTTGTTTTCTTTGATGTTACAAAACTAATATGAATGAGAAATGTGTCAACAAAAAAAATAATTTTTTGACTACTCCTCCATTCATTTTCAGCTGTGATCCATAGATTTGTTTTAAAAAACTTACGTCATGCATGTACTTATTGTATGTGCATCCCTACTTTATTTATTATTTATGATTGATTTAAATTAATATAATTTAAATAAAATGCTTTCCTTGATAGAATAATGTTATTAACTTAATTGTCATCTCTTATTTAAATAAGAAATTAAAATTTTGTTCATTTGTCTATTTATGTGATATCTCAATTGATGTTGAATAGATGTAAGTACAGCAGTCTTTATTTTAATAAATTATTTTAAATTGAAGCGTTTTAGAAAGGTGAGGGGATCCGTGGGCTGAGAGGAATAGTAATAGAAATGGCAAAAGACGTTTCTATGGATAAAAATGGGGGAAAATCTTATCCACTTAAAAAGTATATTAAACGTAAAGTACTAAAAATCAAAGGAGTCATTGTACTAAAAAGTAAACAAACTAGCCAATTCCATTTATGGCATCACGCATAAGAATGGTTAAAACGTATGGTGCATATTCATGCATCTCCATGCATTGTAGACACTACAAATTTCACAAAAAGTAATAGCAACGTGACATGTGGCAATACTTTAGACATGTTTATTATAATTATAGATAAATTACATGAAAAACAAAAATAAAATAAAATAAAATTGCCCCCTCGAACAGATCATATATTTTCCCCAAATGGAGATTATAATAGTTCTTAAAATATTTTAATTTTGATTTCTATAAAAAATTATTTTATTTTTTAAACTATTAATTTAAAATATGAAGTTTTTATAATTTATTTATAATTTAAAATATTTATTTTAATAATTATAATATTCACATGTCTTTTCCTATGTAATGTCTTGATTTTTTTATTCACTTTAAATTTTTAAAATTTTACTTTTAAAGTTTGAAATTTTCATAATTCATTTCTTAAATTTTAAATTTTTATATATTTAATTTAATTCTATTTAATATAATACATATTTAATATTGGTAATAAAAGGTTATTTTTAATTTATAAAATGTATTAATTTTAAAAATAACCATGCAATATATATTTACTGTAAAAGAATATGTATTTAAGTATAAAAATATTAAATTATAATTTATTATTAATAATAATAAATTAACAAATTCTTAACAATTAAAGTATTAGATCGCTATCGAATGCGTGAATGCGAATCATAGCAGTTCTACTCCACTCAATTTTTAAATTAAATTAATGGTAAATATTTTTTTATTATTTTATGTGAGTCTTTTCTTTTATTTTTACAATATCTTTTCATACTTTTAAATTAAAATAATGATAAACAAAGTTAAATATTTTTAGAAATTATCTTAAACATAGTATTTTTAAGAGTTATTATTATATCACTTATGACATTACATTTTTTCTACATTTTTAAATTAAATTAAAGACAAATGATTTTTTTTTCCTTTCTCAGTTTATGTGAGTCTTATTTTACTTTATAATTTTAAATTAAATTTTAATATTTTTAGAAATTATCTAGAATATATTTAAGAACTATTATTATTTTACTTATTATATTACACGTCTTTTCACAGTTTTAAGTTAAATAACAAATAATTTCTCAAATATATTTTATTTTTACACTTTTAATTTAATGTTAGATATTTTTAGAAATTATCTTAAATGAGAATATGTTTAAGAGCCATTATTATTTTTATTTAATATATTACATGCTTTCTTACAGTTTTAATTTACATTAATGGTAATTTTTTACTTTCTCATGTTATGTGAGTTTTATTTTTTTCTGTTTTTTACACGTTTAAAGTAAATTTAGATATTTTTAAGAGTTATTATTATTGTACTTATTATTATATTACATGTTTCTTTTACATTTCTGAATTAAATTAATAATAAATATTTTTGTATTTTTATTTGAGTCTAATCTTTTATTTTAATTAATTTTAAAAAAATGGAATTAATATACATCCAAAGAATCGGAGGAATTTTTCTATGGATTCATTGTAAAAGGAAATAAGAAGAAAATTAAGTTAAATTTTATTAATATTAAAAAAGTTAACAAACTCATAACAACCCGATTCCAGTGCTGAAATGCACGCGGAAATTGAACCCAAAAATAGATCGATAAAAATCACATATTGAGAAACCACAACACATAACGGCACAAAACCCTTCTCTCTCTCTCTCTCTCTCTCTCTCTCTCTCTCTTGCAATGCGCGTGCATGCCAATAATAACACCAAAGATTTTTGTCGCAATAAGTTTCTCTCCGTTGTGCCATTTCTCAACAACAAGAAGAAGCACGACGAGTAGTTTCTTCGCTTTTCTTTGGAATCATGGGTTTCAGATCCTTGTTCACCAGAAAGAAGAAACTGCTCAAGAAAACGATGTCGTCTTCATCTTCCTCGCCTGTCGAAGCACCTCACGCGCCGCCGTCGCTGACCTTGATGTCACGCGCCCAGTTCACGGAGGAACTCGAGCATGTGTTTAAGAAATTCGACGTAAACGGCGATGGAAAAATCTCGGCTTCCGAACTTGGTTCCATAATGAAAAGCCTTGGCCAACAAACAAGCCAGGAGGAGCTTGATAAAATGATCCGCGAGGTAGATTCCGACGGTGACGGTCACATTAGCCTCGAGGAATTCATCGAGTTGAACAACGGCGTTGACCCCGACGAGGTTTTGGAGAATCTCAAAGACGCGTTTTCCGTTTTCGACATCGACGGAAACGGTTCCATCACCGCCGACGAGTTGCACATGGTCATGGCCAGTCTCGGCGACGAATGCTCCGTCGAAGAGTGCCGGAAAATGATTGCCGGCGTCGATAGTGACGGCGATGGAATGATTAACTTTGAGGAGTTTAGGATGATGATGACCGGGGAAGGGGGTAAAGGGTGAGACTGCGAGCGAAATGTGAAATATTAAAAAATAAAGAAAAAATAAAAATAATGTGTTTTTTCGGTTTATTACTTATTTCTCTTCTTCGTTCCTCGAATTGTTTTGTTTCTTTCTCTTTCTTGTCACGGAATTGTTAACTTCGTAACGGTTGAACGAGAGGGTTGTTCGTGACGCGTAGGTTTTAAGGTTAATTTATTTATGAGAAATTAGATTATTATAAAAATTATTTTTTAGTATTTGTGCAAAACGACAAAATAATTCATTACTTTTAATATGTATTTTTCTTAATTAATGAAATAAATAATGACATATTTTTGTCTTTGCATGCCTTTGTAAAATTGTAGTAAACTTTATTTGAAAGAATATCATATATTTTTCTTCATCTCGATCCCCATTTGCGTGATATGATTCAATGTTTTTTGGTTGGTTGGTTGGTTGGTTCGTGCATGAATTCAAATTAAAAAACAAAGATTAGAATAAAATTTGAGTTGGTTTTCTTGGGGCTGTAAATTCATAGCTGACATCGATATAGACATTTACTAATACTCTACATTTCAATGGAAAAAACAATAGGTAATTTTTATAAATTCAAATATGATATTCATATCATAAATCCTATCTAATAAAACTTATTGAGCACACAACTTTACAACAATGGCCCTTCCTGCATTTTGTATCTCTTCCCCAATTTCATTGCAGCGTCTGCTTCAGCTCCTGATGAAATTCCCATCTGCCAAAAGACATTCATAAAATTAATAGCTAGAAAAGAAAACATTATTTTATTGTTACATAAAATCTTGACATGTTTCAAGAATCTAACATCCATGATTAATAATACGTGTCAGATATGATAAAGTTAAAACAATGAATAGCTGCATTTTTGCTTGGCACACCCAGATTGTGCTAAACCCAGTGTCAATCAAATAAGACAGTAAATTTATTTTCTTGACTTAAGATGGCTCATTCTAAACACATGATCAGCTGTGAGGCAGGAATAATTTGTAAGAAAGTGCATCTGATGACAGTATGTTTATCTACAGTATGGAAGTAAGATTATTATGAAAAGAAAGAAAATGGTCCTTGGTGGTTCTTGCAATCAACCATTCTCAAATTGTGGTTCTGGAATAACAGGAGCCAAGACAAAATAATGGAACAGTCTTGGCTACTGAAGACTGGCTCAGTTTGACATGTGGTAGAAACATGAACAGGATTTATATATAGAAAAATATTATCCTTTGTTTTTGCTATAAAAATATATATCAAGTGGTGTTATAACATAAATGTCTGTAATATGAAGCTCCTGTTATCTTCTCTTGTTAGTTGTTACTCAATCCATTTGATGTTGCCCTTATTATGTGGAGACCTAACAAGTGGCTAATAGACAATTAGTGCCATATATATTTTTTTTGAATTGAGAGAACCTTAGACTACGAAACAGAATGACAAGATCACACACATATTTGTCCCTTATAGAGTGCTCCTTAATTTTTCTTATTGTTCTTCTCCTTAATGCATGTTTCAGGTCCAGATTCCAGAATGTCTATACTCTGAACGTAACCAAGACATAATTCGACACCATCATTAATCTGCTACCATTACATGTACGACCTTTCTCTCATATTATACCTTAATTAATTACTTCAAGAAAATCAAAACCATTTCCTTTAATTTATACTTTCACCAATACCAATCTACTACATCTACTATCACATAAATATACTGCATCCGAAACATGAAATTTAAAGTATTATTCAACTAGAAAAATTACTGTTAATTTGATATTAACATTATTGTTTGTAATTTAGAATAATGTAAATTTACATATATTTTTTCACCAATTTGGTAAATTAAATTACTAATATACATATATACGCACGTACATACAACACATATAAATATATGTATATATTAGTTTCGGAAAATATTTTTGTACATTAATGAGACACCTAAAGATGTTTTATAATATATTTTTAAGATGTGTGTAAATAGAAAAAGATAAAAAGTAAGAGAAAAATAATCATAATTACAAAAAAAAATAAAAATTAGAAACACATTCTTTCAACCATATTTTTTATTATTTACTAAAATTTTTAGAAATTACTATGCACTTTTAATCTAATAATTCTTGTGACACCTTGTACTGTATGTCAAATTTATCGTGTGAACTTATGAAATATATGAGTGGCAATAATTACAAATTCATCAAAGTTTACCTTTATAGGTATAAACATCGATCGGTATGGTATATTGTACTATACATCACGGCAAATTTATTTTAATATTGTAAATAAAAAAATAATTTATTGATTTATAGGTAATATGAAACAATTTCTTTGTCTGGGATTTTTTTGCCACGTAGACCTAATTTTCGCCACAACGATTAGCAAAATAAATTTATTTTTTAATTTTTTTATATTTATTTCGCCACAAAAAAGACCAAATAAATAAGATCGTACCATGTGTTAAACATAGACTATTTTCGCAACCTAAGTGGCAAAGTAACCACCAAATTTTGCCACAGCCAGAGCGTAACTAATCATCTATTGACACGTGGCTGTACAGGACCATTATTTCACCATCAGAATAGCGAAAGTTGCTAAAATTAAAAATAATTGATAAAAATGAAATCTAAATGGACGGCTGGGGTGATTTTATATGGCGACATCCCAATAACTTCGCTTTGCTCTTGGCGAAAGTCACTTTCGCCCTGCCGTTGGCGAAAGCAATCAGAATATGACACGTGGCCGGCCAAACAGTGACCAGTCCGGTCTTCTTCCTCTTCTCCTCCGTTTTGCACTTTCATTTTTCCTTCTTTGGTGCTTCAGCGTCGTTCACGATTCTTCCTTCCCAAATTTGGCTAAAATCTAGTTTGATTTGCATTGTGAAGGGCATTTGTACAAGTTTAAGAGGTATAGTAATATGCATATTTATTTATTATCGTTAATTGAAAAATCTGATAAATGGCAACAATTTATGGCTCAAAAACTAGAAAGGGGAAGTGACCAAGTAGTGCTTAGAACTCTCAAATAGGAAAAGAGAGAACTAGAGCTTGAAACTCTTAATAGAGGATGAGAATTTGCTTATTCAACTTGATGCCAAAATGAGGAGTACAATGGAGTATTTATAGTATTACAAGGATACTTCTAGAACATAGATTATTTTATAGTAGATATTAGATAGGATAGTTCTAGACTAGGGATGTTTCTAGAGAAAGGATAAATCTAGAGTAAGGATATTTCTAGACTATAGATATTTCTAGATAGTGTAATTATAGATTATCCTAAATATAGGTTGGGCCATACTCCCCTGGTTGGAAAAGACTCGTCCTCGAGTCTAAGCATTATCTTCATAGTAAGACAATAGATCTGCAACATTGAATGTAGCAGAAACTCCGTATGAATCAGGCAGTTCTATCTTATAGGCGTTGTCATTGATCTTCTGTACTACTCGGAATGGTCCATCTGCTCTTGGAGACAGTTTAGCATTTTGCTGCTTTGGAAATCTATCCTTCCGCAGATGAATCCATACTAAATCTCCTTCCTTGAAAATAACATGTCTTCGATGCTTATCTCGTTGAGTTTTATACTTGGCATTTTGCTTCTCAATTTGTGCTCGAACTTGCTCATGAAGCTTCTTAATCTCCTTTGCTCTTTGGTCAGCATCAACACTGAACTGGTTACTAGTGAGAATAAGTATTAGGTCCAATGGACTAAGAGGTCTAGTACCATACACAACCTCAAATGGACATTTTCCAGTAGTGGGATTACTGGAATTATTGTAGGCAAACTCAACTTGGGGTAAGATAAGATCCCATTGTTGAAGATTCTTCTGAACAAAGCTTCGTAGTAGATTTTCCAGAAGTCTATTTATTGCCTCTGTTTGTCTGTCAGTCTGGGGGTGGCTAGCACTGTTGAACTGCAGTTTTGTGCCCATCTTCCTCCATAGAGTCCTCTAAAAATGGCTTAAGAATTTGACATCTCTATCCGAAGTAATAGTTTTGGGAATTCCATGCAGTCAAACAATCTCCTTGAAAAATAAATCAACAATGTGAATAACATCATTGGTCTTTTGGCAAGGTATAAAATGGGCCATTTTAGAGAATCGGTCCACGACCACCATTACTGAGTCCTTCTGTCGTTGTGTACAAGGTAATCCTAGCACAAAATTTATGCTGATATCTTCCCATGGTGTAACTGGTACTGGAAGAGGTAGGTATAGCCCAGTGTTTTGGCTTTTGGACTTGGCAAGGTGACATATTCTACACCTTTGAATGTGACCAATAACATCCCTTTCAAGTATAGGGGTAGGCCAGCTGATGATTGCTTCAACCTTGCTAGGATCAACCTTGACACCTTCGCTCGTAATGATGTAGCCCAAAAAATTTACTTCATTGGTCAAGAAGGTGCACTTTTTGAGGTTGGCATACAACTTTTGCTCATGAAGAACGTCCAACACTTGGCGAATATGGTTTAGATGTTCTCCCTTACTTTTGCTATAGATTAAAATATCGTCGAAATAAATAACTACAAACTTTCCAATAAAAGAGCATAGTACCTAATTCATCAGGCGCATGAAGGTGCTAGGTGCATTGGATAAGCAATACAGCATGACAGTCCACTCATATAGCCCATCTCTTATCTTGAAAGCGGTCTTCCACTCATCACCAGGACATACTCTAATCTGATTATAGCCACTACGAAGGTCAATCTTCGAGAATAAGACTGCACCATGTAGCTGGTCTAGCATATCATCGAGTCGTGGAATCGAGAATTGATACTTTATGGTAATCTTATTCACGGCTTGACTATCCATGCACATTCTCCAACTTCCATCTTTCTTGGTGACCAATATAACAGGGACTGTACATGGACTGACACTCTCCTGTATCAATCCTTTTTTGAGAAGATCCTCCACTTGACGCTGTACTTCAGCATGTTCATGTGGACTCATCCTATAAGTAGGTTTGTTTGGGATAACAACTCCTGGAATGAAGTCGATGGCATGCTGGATGTCCCTTATAGGTGGTAAACCAGGAAGAATTTCTTCAAGTACCACATCTGGGTATTCTGCAAGGAGCTTTTCTATTTCTTGTGGAATAGGTGCTCCAATATTTTGTTCGACCATGAGTAATAAGCTTATTGATTGGGATTCTTCTCGCGTCATCTTAAGTTGAGGTTTAAAGATTAGGGATACGAGTGGTTTGGCTTTACGTGAGGTTGGGTTGACTTCTTCAGGACCCAATGGAGTCAACCTAATTCTTACTCCATCTTTGACGAATGAGTAGGTATTCTTAAACCCATCATACACAATCTTTCGATCGTATTGCCATAGTCGTCCTAATAAGAGGTGATAGGCATCCATGGGAAGGACGTCACACCAAACTTCATCTTGATATTTTTGTCCGATTGAGAAAGCAACTAGGCAACGTTGACTAACCTTGACTTCACTACCCTTATTCAGCCATTGTAGCTTGTAGGGATGTGGATGATCCTCAGTAGGAAGCTTCAATTTCTCCACCATGTAGCTAGACACAATGTTTTCACAACTTCCACTATCGATGATGACATCACAAATTTTACCTTGAGTGGTGCATCGAGTGTGGAATATATTATGTCTCATCCATGGTTCTTCTCTAACGGCTGCTGTGTGAAGACTACGTCTAACCACTAAGGCTTCTCTATGATCTGCTGGGGTCAACTCTTCATCAAACACTGGAGGACTGTTGAAATCATTTTGGTAGAATTCAGATTCTTCTTTAGATGCTTCATAGGCCTCTCCTTCAATGATAGTGACAACTCTTCGATTTGGACAGTCGGAAGCAATGTGCCCATAACCTTGGCATTTGAAGCATTTGGACGGTTTGGATTGGGTTGGTTGTTTGGGACTAGTGTCTTTAACAGGGTTGGAAAGGGTTTTGTTTAGAGCTGCAGGTTGCGATGGTTGAGCTTTGCGAGGGGTAAAAGAGCTTTGTGAGGATGATGGTTGGAAAATTGATCTTTTAGGGAGTTGCTTTTCAACTCGAATGGCTAATTTGACGACATCGTCCAGAGTCCAATACCGTTGTAGTTGGACAAGCTGAGAAATTTCAGGATTTAGCCCTCCAAGAAATCTAGCAATTGTTTGTTCTTCCTTCTCGTGTATATCGCATTTCATCATCAACAGTTCAAATTCTCTAGTATACTCCTCTACTATCTTAGAATCCTGGCGTAAATTATGGAGCTTAATAAAATAATCTTGATAGTAGTGGTCAGGGAAAAACTTACGTGTGAATTCTCTTTTCATTTTCTCCCACGTCTTTATCTTGCTTCGGCCTTCCCGCTCACGTTTCTTCTTTATATTTTCTCACCAAATGGATGCATGCTTTTTCAGTTTAACAGCGACGATCTTGACCTTTTGTTCATCCGGAATTTTTTTTAATTCGAACACACGCTCCACTGTCTGTAGCCAATCCACAAATTCATTTGGCTGCAATCTCCCCTCAAATTCAGGAATGTCTATCTTGATGTTGTCGAAGTAGCCTCGAGTGCTCTTTCTTCGTGGGTGACTGGTGTTAGATGAAGAGTCACTTTCTTCAGAATCATTTTCTGAATTGGAGTTCCTTCGACGATTGAGTAGAGCTTGTTGTTCCTCCACAATTTCTTGTAGTTCTTGAATTTGTCGGCGTAACTCGTCCATCTCGATCTCTTGAGCAGTCCTTCGGTTTTGGCGTCTTGGTGGCATTTTGTTGTATGGGTGGGAATAAAATTATGAAAAGGTTTGGGACAATATGCAGCGCAACAATGTTGAATGCGTGGTGCTCACGCGACTGATGATGTCACTGTCTTCAACCGCTCCCGAGCGCGTCTACGGTGTTGGCTTGTTAAGAAATAACTCAAAATGCTTCTTAAGAGTGACCGAAACTAACTTCAGTAAGAAAAGAAGCGAAGAGAATTTAGGTCAATTCTAAACGAACAAGAGCGTAGGAAGCTGGGAACCTGACTCTTGATACCAAATGGCTTAGAAACCAGAAAGGGGAAGTGACCAAGTAGTGCTTAGAACTCTCAAATAGGAAAAGATAGAACTAGAGCTTGAAACTCTTAATAGATGATGAGAATTTGCTTATTCAACTTGATGCCAAATTGAGGAGTACAATGGGATATTTATAGTATTAAAAGGATACTTCTAGAACATAGATTATTTTATAGTAGATATTAGATAGGATAGTTCTAGACTAGGGATGTTTCTAGAGAAAGGATAAATCTAGAGTAAGGATATTTCTAGACAGTGTAATTATAGATTATCCTAAATATAGGTTGGGCCAATTAATTTTTTAAAATTTTTTAATTTTTAAAAAATTAATTGTAAGCGGGTGATTGATTGATTCGATAGGGGTGAGTGAAAAATAATTTAGTTGAAGGTTTATTAAGGTTAGTAAAAAAAGATTTAAATTTTAAATAGTTTTTCATTTATTTGTATATAGATTAATATGTTTTTAGAAAAATAAATTGTAATATAGTTGATTAAATGTAAAATTATAATAAATTGTTAAAAAGGTAGGTTAAATTTAAATTAATTTAAATTGTTTGCATAAATTGTTATATGTATTTGAAAAAAACAGAATAATAGAAAAGTAAATAAATAAAATAATTATATAAAACTAAATATAATAATTTATTCTTAGTTTTATTGTAATAAATAATTTTTACACTTATATAGTAAATTAAGTAGAATTTTGAAATTGTAAATTTTGAAATGCAGTAATAATAATGTAAAATGTTATGACACGTGGCCATAAAATATTAAAATGCAATAATAATGTAAAATAATTAAGTATAAAATTTGTATGTAAATAATTATTTATTTATTTTAAAAAAATGTAACATTAATAATTGTTATGGAGCTATAAAAATAGTTGGTATTTTAAATTTCAAATGGAGCTTCAGTAAACATTTGTTTTTTCTGTTTTAATCTCCCCCTATTGAATTTGGCTTCAAATAGATTTACCGACACATTTTCACTAGAATATGGAGACCTTACTAGCAGGAATTGGTTCTTTTGAAAACAGCTTTTAATTGATATTCCAAAATCAAATATGAGGTGCAAGAATCTTAAAATAAAATTATAAGTATGCAATTTATGTAGATTTAAATTGGAAATATGAAAAAATAAAAATTTAATTTAATATAATGCTAGTAATTAGAGTTTTGTATTTAAATAATGTAACATGATTTAAATAAATTTTATTAAATACATATGTGGACTGTTTGATTAACTCTAAACGTATAAATTCAAGATTCAATTTTGATTTATGATAAAAATGAAGAAAACTCACAAATAAATCAATTCCAAATTTTGATTTAAACGTAATAATAAATTAATTTTACTTTGCAGCAGAAAAATAAAAAAGAAACCAATTTCAAATTTCAGATTCACGGTCTACATTTATATTTTGGAGAGACCGCTCTCCAATCTTAACTTTTAAAAGCAGTTTTTTAACCGCTCTCTTAAATATAACACATCAGATAGCGCAAGATTTTAGAGCAATTCTAAACACTTTCTAATTTAAAATAAAACCGCTCTCAGATCTACATTCTGGCGTAGTATGTCCCTCTTAGATTGAAACCACATTAGCAAGGAGGAAGTTATTTCTCGTACCAGAAAACTAACAAATAATTATTTTAAGTCACACATCATATTGTTATCAATTTCAAAAATTAAATAGAAATTACACATAAATAGCCAAATATCATAACTAAGGGTGGACAAATTTTTTTTCACTGACCGAAACTGAAAAACTCAAGGATCCGATGATGCATGTTCGATGGGTTTACACGAGTGTAGGTAAAATTAGTTATAATTTATGGTTTAAAATGAGTTAAGTTGATCAGGTGCTGCAGGTGGCAAGTTTTCTATCTAATTCTAATTAGTTGGACCAAAAAATATGTTCTCTTTTTCGTTCCATCAGTCCATGTCTTCATTATCTTGTCTTATAATGATTCTATCTTTCTTTGGTAGATTTCACTTCAGCTTCACTTCTATGAACAATGCAATTTTGATTTAAAAATTTTATAAAAAAAAATATGAATTTTAACATTACAAAAGGGGAATAGAAATAAAGGATTTTAAAGAAAAAACAAAATTTTGTCTTAATAAAATGGGAAAAATTCTGAAGTAATCCTTAAAAGGAAAATGGAATATTAGGAATAATCAAACTCTTGAATCAATATTACTTTATACATAAAAGGAAAAATTTTCAGATTTTTGAGATTTTATGAAAACTCTAGCAATAAAAGGAGAGAGGAATTGTGAGAAAGGGGTTCAAGAAATTGAGAGGGGAGAATTTTTTTCAAAAAATATTGTAAAGAGAAAGGTAATGGAAGGAAGGGGAAATAAAGTAAGCAAGGATAGGGTTTTAAGATTTACAAGTTTTTATTATACATTCTATGAATTTTTTTTACATATTCCTACTATTGAATGAGTATTTTCACATCACATAAATGTCATAATTTCCAAACAAAAATACAAAAAATTTTGCAATGAATTTTTTTTTTTTTTACATATTCCATGAAAGTTCCTTCCTCCACTATTTTTTCTTTTCTTTTCTTCCTTAAACCACACTACTTTCAACCACCCTCTTTTCCACTCATCATTCTTTTATCTAAACCATCATTTTTAAACACCCAAGATACACCACCTCTCCACCCATCATTTTTCCTCTTCCTTAATTCACCATCATCCTGATGAATCCACATTTTATTGGATTTTTACTTGTCTTTTTAGTGTTCCTTAATAGAAAAAGTAGACTTAGGAAGTGTAAATAACATAAAAATATCATTTTGGTCAAATATAATAGGTTTCTTAATTTTTAGTTAATTTACATTGATTTACATAGATATAATTTGTAATTTTGATCATTTGAATAATTGTGCAGGAATTTCTAGGCTTATTTCATGAATTTCTAGCCTTTGAGAAAGTTTGAGTTGAAAGTGACCACTTTGGATTCCATAGTGGATACTACAGCAAGCTAGATTTAGAGGGTAGACCAAAATGATCACTTTCGGAGCCATAGTGGACACTAAAAAGACTCCAGTCTGAAGAGGACCTGTGCGTAGCCACTTTGATTCCCTAATAGACACTCTAGAGAGGGCTGACAGGATGGGATGCTACGTGTAGCTACTATGACTTTCATAGTAGCTACTATGGGTAACGACCACTGCACTATAAATAGAATTTTAAAAATTAGGTTAAAGGCTTTTTCACACTTTTAGATTTTTGCTATTTTAGGAACACTTGCAGAGCTTAGGTCAGCCTTAGGTGACAGCCAAGGCCTTAACCTAGGGTTTGATTCATATTTCTCCTTATTTTCCTTTGATTTTACATCCATGTCATTGAATTCTCTCTATCTCCATCTTGTATTTGTGAGATCCATCCTCATGGAGGGCTAGATATTTTGTAATCCTTAGTGAGTTCATTGAGATTCTTGAATTCCTGGGTTATTAATGTTAATATAACTCATTTTCCTTCATGAATTTCTATTTCTCAATCTTTTGAATTGAATTAATGGTTGAATGAGGAGAACATTGCTTAATTAACCCTAATTCATTTTAATGAGATTCTTAACTTGGTTTGCTTAATTCTAAGTTAAATTCTAAGGTTGCGTAATCTTGAAAAAAAGGATTGGAGTCCATTGAATTTGCTTAAATTCGTATGAAAATATAAGGTTGATTTGTGCTTGTTAAATTAACCTAATTCAAGGGGAGATGAAGATTGTTAAATATTTAGAGGAATAAGGATAGAATCACATGAATGAACTAAGGATTGCTACATCTTATTGATTGAATTTGACAATTTCATTAATTGCTTTTTGTTTTAAATCTGGAAATCAAACAAACTCCCTTTTTTTAATTGCTTTCATAGTACATGTTAGTGAAATGTTTAATGCATATTCTCAACTAAAGTCATCAGAGACAACCTAGGCTTGCATCCTAAATTACATAAAATTTCTACATATTTTGATGAGGATTGGAGATATATCTTTATGCAAATCAATTCGATCATCACATCCTTAAACACAAAACTTACCATGTAAGTTCCTCCCCCACCCTTCCTGCCTACCTCTCTCTCACACTAACTTCCACCACTCAAAATCATAGCTTCCATTAACCTCACCTCCA